CCTTTCTTCTCTCTCTCTCTCTCTCTCTCCCACTCTCGCACTCTCTCTCTCTCTATCTCCGCGTACAAACTCTCGTCCTCTATTGTTGTCACATGGATCGCGCCGCTCATCCTCATTTTTTTTTTTTTCAATCTTATATATCACGTTACAGTAGATAGTATCTAAATGAAATGTGTTCACAGCCACACATTAATATTTATACACAGATTTTATACATGTATTTATATATATTTTTAAATATATATATATATATTTATTTATATATTTATAATTAATCTTTTAGCAAACGCCACACCCGTTAATGTTTCGTAGCCTGCTGTTTGTTTTAAATTTATTTTTTTGTTGTTGCTTTTTTTTTTTTGTGAAATCTGTGTTTTATTACCACTACCTTTCCTTTAGTATACGTTTTCGAAACATTATGTTCATTCGTTATATATATATATTTTTTTGTTTTTTATTTTTTTTTTTTATTTTTCGTTTTTCTCTGTCTGGGAAAAAAGAAAAGAAAGAGCGACCGTGGAACGCTAACGGACGCTTCCATATGCGCTAACAATCGTTTCTGTTATTTTCTGATTCAACTCCAGGCGCTCTCTATCCTTCGTTTTTCTCTCTCGTCGTCGGTCTTTTTTTTTTTTCGAATTTTTTCTCAATACTCTTCTCTCCCGTTTCTCATCTCTCTCGATTAGTCGTCGCTTCTCCGCCTCACAGTTGATTTTCCTTCTATTATTCGGAATCTTGTTGGCGAGCTGATGCCACTGAGCGGCAGCGCTACTATTCCCCAGGGACTTTGAAACTTATGCTTTTTTTCGATGCACGCACAGTCTCCGTCTTTCTCGCGCCACTATTGCGAGTTGTACGCGTCTATTTCGTTCTATCGACGCGCGCACAAATAAGAATGTAACGTTAAAAGTCGTCTATCATTTATCGCGCGTAACGCAAACAGATTATTACATTTCTCTCCACTATTCGTTCGGATTCGTTAGGCACAACACATTTTCTGTTATTTTTTCTATCTGTTTCGCTTTGTTTGTTATCATTCTTCTTCTTCTTCTTTTTTTTATTTTTTTTTTTTATTATTATTATTATTATTTTGTTTCGTTTGGAGTCTTGTAGTCTCTCAGTTGATCCCCTACGACCGTATTACAACAAGTACCATCGTGTTTTGGTCCTTCCCCCCACGACAACTGATTCGTCTATTGCAGTTGGATAAACGCGTCGATCCAGGAGAAACAGAAAGAATACACGAATAGACGAAAAAACGTATGCAATGTAACAAATCGAATATTTCCGTTCGAATCTTCTTGGTTCCTCTAATTCCCTTCAGTCTTCCCTGAATCGCTAATAAGCGTTCGTCATCACCGACTTCTTCTTCAAATCAACGATCCATCGAATCGATCACGGCGAGTTCATTTTCTCTCGCTTCTCTCATTTCAACGAGTAGAACGCTACTCGTCTACGTCACACTTTGAATCGTGTGTCAATATGTGATGTTTGATGCATGTCCAAGCGTCAACTGAGAACTAAACAATACTCCTTTGGCCCGTGAACAATCAATGATGATCGATCATCATCGTTCTCGATATTTTTGAATAAGCAAGGACCACGATGATCCCAATCCCGTCGATCGTTGTTGATTTCTGATAATAGTAGATGTTCGGCCCTCCCGTGGTCGGTAAGCAGAGTCTCATCGATGGTTTTATAATCGGCAATGATCGCAGAGATGTCGCGGACGTCGATGACCGTGCCGGTAGTTGTCGTAGCGGTAGAGATGGCGGTACTGGTGGCGACGATGGCGTTGGCGTCGATGTCGCATCACGACGAGCACGCCATCCACGAGTTGCAGGTGCACGTGTAACACGCGGGTATCACCGGAGCGTAATAATAACCGTTCGCGTACACGTAGGTGGCGGGTGGCCCAGGCGGGGCTTGCTGATGATTCGTCAATCGTTGTTGCTGCTCCTGGCACAACACCTGGTAGGCAAGATTTTCGATCAATGCGAGTGTCTGTCGTCTCTCGTGGCCCATCAGGCATACAGTGGACTCTTCCACCACGTTATGGAGTAACATCAGGTACTGATACTTGAGGGCCTCCTCCTCAGGGCCGACGAAGTGATTCCACAGGTAGTTCTCAAGTTTGGCGCGTTGTTGGCTGATGTCGGGAAAGTCGATGAAGAATCTCGAGCACATGTATCGCTCGAGGGTCTTTATGTATTCGGGCTGCGAGGGTTTGTACATCTTAACAAGAAGATTGCAGTACTTGAGCAGGCCACCTCCGCGAATCTCTTCGGGACTCCTTGTCGAGATCAGTTTCTTGTGAAGGTGATACAACGCTTCCTGAAAGTCACCGTACACCGATTCGCCTACAACCGTCGGGTAGAAGTTTTCGCCGATCGGCAGTTTGCTGCATTCGTAGAACAAGAGGAGCGAGTCGAGGACAATCTGGAACGAGTCGACCGAGAACTCGAACTGCCGCCTCATCGAATCGACGAATTTCAGCTCGACGTTCCTGTGGCCTCGCGAGTTCCCGAGGGAGATCAGGGACCATCGGTCACCTTCGTTATTCACTTTCACCATTTTGCTCACGTAAGCCTCTTTCAGGCTGCAAGTAGTGATACGCTTGCGACTCACGCCTTCCGGCAGAAGGTCGAACAGCGAGCCGAGCACCGCGGCCTTCACCTTGTCGTAATTTCGCCCGCTCGAAAGCTCCACGGCAAAGATCAGATCCAGATCGTTGTACGGCTGCGATTCAGTGGCGAGGACGTGGGAGGCGGCGCCACCGTTCAATCTTATATCGCGTACCCTCATCCCGGCGCCACCGTTGCTCGGATCCGACTCCAATTTGCTGCGGACCACGTTCACCAGATCTCTCAATCTGACCTCCAGAGTGGGAAAGTTTCCACGCCCGTGGATGCACACCACTTCGTTCATCACGTCGTTCAATCGTTTCACTTGATCGAAGCTGAGCACGGCCAGCCTCTGCTGGGGATCCGGGCAATTTGGATTGTTGTTGTTGCTGTTGTTGTTGGTGTTCGCGTTGCTCTCGTTGCCAATGTTTTTGGTGCCGCTCACCTGGCACAGGGACTCCATCATAGCGACCCGACGTTGGCGTTCCTCGCCGATCTCCAGGGAGCCACACTGTAATGGAAACGAAACGGGGAGATGTTATTAACCGTATCATTTCCGCCTTCGATAAAATAAATAACTGTATTAAGCTGCGCCATGCTCTTAAATGGATATTGTTGGAATGGGTATTATTATTACGTTGAACGAAAGGTAGAAATAAAGTAGTTGAAAACTTATAATTTATTTTGTAAAGTATTGTTTTTACGATTGTTTCCAAAAATATCCAATTAAATGAGAAATCAACTTATTATTGTTAATATTTAACACACACATATATATATATATATATTTATAGATATATAAATTTAAATATGATTTTATTTAAAAAAAAAAATTAACTAAAAATTTATAATTTTAATTTTTATTTATGAATAAATATATGTATGCTTATTATTTCATTTTACGAACAAAATTTGAAAAGGACAATTGTTTTGAAAAAGGAATAAAATGTATGAAAATTAAGAAAAATTATATGTTAAAAATTAATTTATTTAATTTATTTATGAAACATTTTACCTACGTATATTTTACAACTATTTATAATAATGATTTGTGTATAAAAATATAGAAGCATAAAATATAAATATAAATAAATATTCTAATCGTTTAATCATTTTTTTTTTTATATTTATATTCAATTTTATCATTCTTTTCTATTTTTCTTAATCGAAAGAATAGGACAAAGTTAGAAAAAGGAAGTTATCGTCTCGATGTTCCTTAATTCTGCAGACGACATTAATCGTGACATGAAAATCATGACGAGAATGGCAATAAAATGATGATGCGATTAATTTAATCGTATCGCAAATAGATAAACAGTTTCGAGAATAAACACAGTGAGAAGTTTAACATTCTACATGCTATCGTACACGTTTAGAAATATCACGAGATTACGTTCGAATAATGTATTTGTAGGAACTTCTCACTCTTTGTCAATCATTCGATCTTTGTAAATAAAATAAAATAGTTTTTATTTCTTGCAAAAAAATCTGATATTTCATTAATAGATTTTGTTTCATTTTTAAAGAGATTTTCACTCATCGGAAGTTTTGAATTAAAAATAAAACGATGTGAAGTAGGATTGTTGAATGTAGATATTTTTTTCGACGCTTCAAAAGATTACGAAGGAAAATCATTTATTTGAAAAGATTTCGAAATACTTGGAAATATTTTTAAAATTTGTAAAATTCCTTAGATTGTGTTGTCAACAAATTCTTAAGAAATATTTGACTTCTATTTAATTTCTAAGAATTTTATTAATATTCCAACAAAAAAATTCTTTTAAAATATTCAATGGAAAGATATTTTAACATTTTTTTTTTTTTTTTTTATATATAATTCTTCTCTATTAAAATTCCTTCGATTTTTAAAACTTCTTTTAATAATATAAGGGAAAAAAGCAATAAATAAATCAATTCAAATAATTTCTTAAAAGCGCAAAATTAAAAACTTTCACCACTTTTATAAAAAATTCGGAAAGCTGCCATTTTCATCGCAAAAAAGCATCTAAAAATTTTATATATTCAAGATTCTCATTTAAAATTACAAAAAAATTACAAAAAACAAATGATTGATTTTTAGAAACTAATGTAACAATAATAAGAAAAACTGAAATTTTAATTATCCTTGAAAATTTCTTATCTTGAAGAACAAAATTTTTAAGAACCAATATTTTCGAGATATTCGCAAAAAAAAAAAATAGTTGCTATTATTGAATTTCATCCGCATCTGAGTATCATGAGTGTGCGCGCGTCAACATGTCATTTATCAACTATTTATATAAACACATCACAGTGTGTGGTAGCGATTCCAAACGTATAACGGGTGAACTAATATTATTGTATTTATCGTTGGGATCGCTGATTTCGATCATTGTAATTTTAATTCCACTCAACAAGGATTATTTTATATTCTATTTTCGCACTCCGTATCCGAGATATCCCGAAGAATGCCCAAACTTGATGTAAGTTGTCATAAAAATCCCCGCGGAAATAGTTTTATGACCTGTTCATCCGTTATACAATTCTACTTGTTTATCGCTGTATTAATGTATTTATATAAACAATAGATAACAGTAGCCACAAACGAAATTCAATGTCGTAGTAACAACTATCATTTCCAAATATGTGGAAAAATTGAACGATGCTTACATAGAAAAAGAAAGTAATTCAAAATCTTCTATCTCTCTGTTACGTATTTAAAAATCATATATTTATATTATATTATATTAATTACAAAAATAAATTGTAATATAATATAATTCCTTCCCGAAAAATAATCCGAATGGAATTCTCAAAATTCTAAAAAAAGAAGAAGAAAAAAAGGTTGGAATACGATGGAAAAGGTCGATGCCACTGGACGGAACTCTGGAAGTCAGCTGTTGAAAGTAAACACCGAAGCGAAAGGGAGCCGATTCGAAGCGCTGGTCGAGAGTTGGTTCCCCTCGACTCGTTCACGGCCGCGTTTAATTATCGTTATTTCATTAGGAGATAACGAGAAAAGATATGGTCGATCAGCGGCTAAGAGCCACCGTTAAGTTTATACCCGAGCTCACGCGGCTTCGATATTAATCGGGATAACTGGGCGATAAAACCGGTCGTTAAATTGAAATTCTTCAACATCAGGCGTGCATCAGAATCGCGCCATCTATTCCCGCTCTCGTTCTCTCACCGTGCACTTGGGAACAACCGGCACTTAATCATGGCGGTATATAACTTCGTTAGCTAATTGCCCCACGCTCGATTACCAGATCCAGTTGCGTCATCACACACTTTTCGATCTATTTCGCACGATGTTTCGTATCTGGGATGTTCACCACACGTTCCCATTCCCATCTCTCGCGTGAGAATAAGTTTTTTTTTTTTTTTCGATAAATTATTATTGCACCATTTTTCGGATGAAAAAAAAAAAAGAAAATAGGAGGATTTGAGAATATATTTCGATCGTTGCAAGAATAAAAAAAACACGTGAATTCGATAATACGAGTTGGAATCATTTCAGGATAAAAAGCTGATAAGAATGGCTGTTAACTCGCCAGATATCATTATCGCTCTTTTCCTATTAAAGACGATAATGATTATATTATGTTACACATTTTTCGTAATCGACACTAGGAAAACCTACCTTCTTTCTCCAAAGAATTCTCTAAATTACAGAACTATGCTTGAATTAATTACGTGATGCAATATTGGGGAAAAAAGGAGGACGAATATATTCCCATCATTGAATTTTCCACGAATTTTTCAAAGAAACGAAAAAATTATTAATAATAATATACATTGCACACGTCGTCACCTTATATTTTCTCCACCAATAACATTCAAACTTGAACGAAACTGTAGAATTCCCTCGCACAAACTATTATATATTTAATCCATCCACGATTATTACATTACGTGTTACAGCGATTATATTGAGTCCCACCTCGGATTCACCACGAATTAACCAGTTTTCGAGTTACTTTCACTCGACCAGGGTATATATATATATATATCCTCTAGTTATAACTTTTCCCAAACCGATCACGAAACAATCGAACCACCTGTGGATCCCGCGCTTCCCCACCAGTTTTTTCTTCCAGAAAAATTCGAAGAACAATATCACTCGTTTTTAACTGTATGCAGCTTCAGCTTTGGTATATCACAGGCTTGATCACTGATCGAGAACTTCAGTAATTAAGAACTTGGCCACTTTCTTCAGTCTGGGCAAATTCGATTGAACTCTTTAGAAATGCGAGGAAGGATATTTTATATTAAAGCGTGAATTTGCAAACGGATTCGCATGAGCCGAGCAGATCCACAGCTGATGAGAGGCAACAGCGAACTGAGAGCAGCGCGGTGAAAGGCGTACGAGGAAGACTGGCGGCAGTGACGGTGGCGGTGGCGGTGGCGGCGATACCTCCATCAATAGCAGCGATAGCGACGTCCTTAGTGTAGCAAAGAGGAGAGAGAGAGGGGCGATACAAAGCTAGCAAGCCGCTATCGACATCGAGCTCCGGCTTCGTGTAAATCTGATCATTGTACACGCTCTTTTCAACTTTTTTTTTCTTTTTTGAAACACGTATCTCGCTTTGCATTTCATAATAACAAGTAACTATTCATCTCTCTTTTTCTAAAATTATACAAAGAATGTAATCTTGGATAAGATACTACTATAAGACATTATATATCTTCAAGCGTGAATCAAGATTAAGATGATTTTAATGATTTTATATTTCGATCATGAGAATATAATTTTTTGTTGAATTATATATATATAATAAAAATTCTCTTTTTTTCTTTGTATTTCGAGACTTGAAATCTTCTAAAACGCCATAATCCACCATTGTCAACGTTCTCAAGGTCCCCGGCTCGAGATATCGATGGGCAATCAGCAATCTATTTGAATCTCTGTCACTTCCAGGAAACTTTCTCGATACAATTTCAATACTATTACTCGGAAAATTTCCCCATGCGCCAAGAATGTTCTCCATTACTTTCTCGATATTTCTATCTGAAGGATTGTTCGATATTTTTTTTTACCTCTTTTCTTTGAAATTATGCAATCCAAAATTGAATCCTGTTTTGAACGTTCAAATCAATCTCAAGGTTAAAATTGTTGAACATTCGCTCGTTTCGAATCGAGATACGATTTCCTTTTTCGTGATAATAAAAATTGTGATTCGAGGAAAGATAAGGATTATCATATTAAGTATACATTTTCCTCCAATATGGATATCTTGAAGGAAATAAGAATGATTACGTGTGATGAATTGATACAACAAAGTACAAATAAATATGCAATAATACAAATAAGGATCATTTTGAAATGAAAAATAGGATAAGTAATTACAATATACGATTGTTTCCTTTATATTTACAACTTTTTTAATAATGTAAACAATCTATGTTTGTTTAACATTTTTTGTTTAGATCCATAAAATATATTGACACCTTGAATCTGGATCACACTTTATATTTCAAGTTTAAAAAATTATGTATTCTTCGTGAAAAATAATCTTTGAATATAATTAC